GTACGGTGAAGGGTCGTGGACCCCAAGGTACAGTCCTGGCCCCACTACTGAGTACGGTGAAGGGTCGTGGACCCCAAGGTACAGTCCTGGCACCACTACTGAGTACGGTGAAGGGTCGTGGACCCCAAGGTACAGTCCTGGCCCCACTACTGAGTACGGTGAAGGGTCGTGGACCCCAAGGTACAGTCCTGGCACCGTTACATTGTAGATGACATTAAAATGAGCATGAATATTTTCCTCAGAAGAAGACACTGAACACTACAGAGAGAGATATCAGTATATCTTACAATGGACAAAGGAAACATGATATTCATCAGTGATATACAGTACTCCAGATGCTATACTGTACTGTACTTAGATATGGAAATAATTAGGAACGTAAACTGGTTGGACGATACAAGATATCGACGGATCTCGTAGAACAGAAATGACACATTTCAAAAGGTCTAGAAATAATGCTGTATTGTTTATTGAGTAAACACACACAACAAAGAATGAGTCTGGAAAATGATAGCACGGGTTATGATAACCTTCAAGTCCGCCAGACTGCTCCTTGTTTTCAGGTGGTTACTGGAGTTGTCCCGCCTTGAGTACTGCTCCATACTTCATTTCCCTTTTAACGCTGGAGAGATTTCTGGAATAGTAGGAATACTGTACAAGGAACATATACGGCACACATAGACACAGTCAAAACATACATAGAAACATGTATGTAATATGTAAAGATAGAACCCGAACGCAGGTTCGAATCCTCGTCATGGCCGGTGTGGATTTGTTCATACATGTCAACGATATGGAAGAAAATGCAGAATAGAACCAGTGAAGAACAGGGGTGCCATAGGCACAATCAGAGGACACTGTATAAACATCAGAGGTCTGCGGTTGTTCCCTCCCAGCGAGCATAAGAAATATTGCTGGAACAACCGTGGACATCTTCAAGAGGAAACTAGATAGTTTCCTCCAAGGAGTGCCAGACCAACCAGGCTGTGGTGGGTATGTGGGCCTGCGGGCCGCTGCAAGCAACAGCCTGGTGGACCAAACTCTCACAAGTCAAGCCTGGCCTCAGGCTGGGCATGGGGAGAACAACAACTCCCAGAACCCCATCAAGCAGGTATCAAGCAGGTATCAAGCAGGTATCAAGCAGGTATCAAGCAGGTATCAAGCAGGTATCAAGCAGGTATATAAACTGTTGGGACTATCTCAAACCTCTCAAAATGTACACTCTGGAAAGGAGACAAGAAGGATATCACATAACTTGTACCCCTGGAAGATCCTGGAAGACCTGGTCCCAGATATGTACAATATTTGGGACCTACTGGAGTGAAAGATATGGTAGGAAGTACAGAATAGATCCAGTGAAAAGTAGAGGTGCCATAGGCACAATCAGAGAACTTCCCTCAAGATATAAGACCTCCCTCAAAATATGGGACCGCCCTCAAAATACGAGAAATATTAAAAGAACACAAGTAGAGGTGTTCAAGAGGAGATTGGAGAGATTTCAGAAGAATGCTGTGGATGAGCTGTGTTGCTGTGAATGTGTAGGTCTGTGGGTCCCTGCAATCAACAGCCTAACGCAGTTAGTTATCACCAAACAAGCTTGGCCCAGGCCAAACTTGGATAGTAGAACAACTCCTGAAACTGCCTATAGGTAAACTAAATGTAAAGAAGCGGGTTCTGATTGCCATGATAATGTCTGTGTATGTGTGTGATAGTAACAGTCTTGTGTGGTGGGGATGACAAGTGGGTGCCGGGTGTGGGATTGGCACAGTTGGCTACCGGGTGTGTCGATGTGTGATAGTAACAGTCTTGTGTGGTGGGGATGACAAGTGGGTGCCGGGTGTGGGATTGGTGACAGTTGGCTACCGGGTGTGTCGATGCACACACAAGAACTTTTAGGGACGTCCTCAATGTTGCTAATATGTTCTGTGTTTTGTTACCTGGCCAGCACCACACTTCCTCTTGACTTGACCACTCATACCAGCTAGAATCAACAGATTTTTTGTATTATGATGCATTAAAATTACCCATTTTCAGCTTTTTTGGCAATTAATCCAGGAAAGTAAGGAAAAACTAACTTGAATATCTGCACCTTACTATATTAAACAAAAATGAAAAATTAGTGGTCACTTTCCCCCAATTGGATATTAAGAGATTAGTTACATACGAGGGTCAAACATGTCAGGTGTACTGCTGGGAGGCCTAGCCTCAAAATTATGCATAATCTATGGCCAATATTTTTTAACCAGCATTCTAAAAATTCTGCAGATTTCGGAAACTTTGTGAGCCTCTGCCTGTCGAGATTGGTTCTTTATGACTACCAATGTTTGTTGTGTGTAAGGCTGTCATAGCCAGCAGCCTCATTTTGGTTCGATGGTAATTTGCTGTTAGACTTCTCATGTTCTCCTTCACTACGTACTGTAGTAAAGATGAACACACTACGTACTGTAGTAAAGATGAACACACTACGTACTGTAGTAAAGATGAACACACTACGTACTGTAGTAAAGATGAACACACTACGTACTGTAGTAAAGATGAACACACTACGTACTGTAGTAAAGATGAACACACTACGTACTGTAGTAAAGATGAACATAGTTGCTCACATGTGGCCAGCCTTTCCTGGAGAGTGCCTGGTCTCTGAACACAAGATACAGTCACTGAAGTCAGTGATTATAGATACTCTTGATTATTACATTATAGCCATTATAGATAAATATTGTAGATAATAAATCAAGTGTAAATGGTTATAGATTATAGGTAATAATGATACATGATGAATTTAAATAATTATAGACTGCAGATAATGATCTATGAATGTTTCTAGAGATTATCACCTCCATGGTCCGATCCCTGACACAGGCTTGTCCGTTGACACAACTGGTTATGATACATTTGATTTCATGTGTGTGCGCGTCTGGAGGAGGCCACAGGTGTGTCAGTAGTGTGTGTGTGGGTGCGTCTGGGGGAGGCCACAGGTGTGTCAGTAGTGTGTGGGTGGGTGCGTTTGAGGGAGGCCACAGGTGTGTCAGTAGTGTGTGGGTGGGTGCGTTTGAGGGAGGCCACAGGTGTGTCAGTAGTGTGTGTGTGGGTGCGTCTGGGGGAGGCCACAGGTGTGTCAGTAGTGTGTGTGTGGGTGCGTCTGGGGGAGGCCACAGGTGTGTCAGTAGTGTGTGGGTGGGTGCGTTTGAGGGAGGCCACAGGTGTGTCAGTAGTGTGTGTGTGGGTGCGTCTGGGGGAGGCCACAGGTGTGTCAGTAGTGTGTGTGTGGGTGCGTCTGGAGGAGGCCACAGGTGTGTCAGTAGTGTGTGTGTGGGTGCGTCTGGGGGAGGCCACAGGTGTGTCAGTAGTGTGTGTGTGGGTGCGTCTGGAGGAGGCCACAGGTGTGTCAGTAGTGTGTGTGTGGGTGCGTCTTGGGGAGGCCACAGGTGTGTCAGTAGTGTGTGTGTGGGTGCGTCTGGGGGAGGCCACAGGTGTGTCAGTAGTGTGTGTGTGGGTGCGTCTGGAGGAGGCCACAGGTGTGTCAGTAGTGTGTGTGTGGGTGCGTCTGGGGGAGGCCACAGGTGTGTCAGTAGTGTGTGTGTGGGTGCGTCTGGAGGAGGCCACAGGTGTGTCAGTAGTGTGTGTGTGGGTGCGTCTGGGGGAGGCCACAGGTGTGTCAGTAGTGTGTGTGGGTGCGTCTGGAGGAGGCCGCAGGTGTGTCAGTAGTGTGTGTGTGGGTGCGTCTGGGGGAGGCCACAGGTGTGTCAGTAGTGTGTGTGTGGGTGCGTCTGGGGGAGGCCACAGGTGTGTCAGTAGTGTGTGTGTGGGTGCGTCTGGGGGAGGCCACAGGTGTGTCAGTAGTGTGTATGGGTGCGTCTGGGGAAGGCCACAGATGTGTCAGTAGTGCGTGTGTGGGTGCGTCTGGAGGAGGCCACAGATGTGACAGTACTCACCTAATTGTGCTTGTGAGGGTTGAGCTCTGGCTCTTTGGTCCCGCCTCTCAACTGTCAATCGACTAATGTACAAGTTCCTGAGCCTACTGGACTCTACACATATCTACATACATATCTACACTTGAAGCTGTGTATGGGGTCAGTCTCCACCACATCACTGCCTAACGCATTCCATTTGTTCACTACTCTGACACTGAAAAAGTTCTTTCTAACGTCTCTATGGCTCATTTGGGCACTCAATTTCCACCTGTGTTCCCTAGTGCATGTGCCCCTTGTGCTAAATAGCCTGTCTTTACCTACCCTATGAATTCCTCTGAGAATCTTGTATGTGGTGATCATGTCCCCTCTAACTCTTCTGTCTCTCAGTATGTGTATGCGTGCGTCTAGGGAGACCACAGATGTGAATTCAATCCTAATGAAATTGCTTTGAACTTTTCTCATTGATTCATCATGCTTTTGTGAGTTTGATTAGCACTAATAATGTTATGTAGACTGATACCAGGATCTGATTTTTGCTGTGAATTTGTATTTTATAATACTTTTGCATTGCAGGTGTTTGTCACACGTGTGGAGACAAAGTGACTGGTGCGGGGCAGGCGTGTCAGGCTATGGGGAATCTTTATCACACCAATTGCTTCATCTGTTGCTCCTGCGGACGTGCTCTGCGGGGAAAGGCATTCTACAATGTCCACGGTAAAGTGTACTGCGAGGAAGACTACCTTTACTCTGGTTTCCAGCAGACTGCGGAGAAATGTGCAATCTGCGGCCACCTTATTATGGAAATGGTGAGTCCTTAGTGAATTACTCGACCCATCCTCCTGTTCAGGTAGTACCTATTGTGTCGGTCGTCAATAGTCACTAATTCATCCATACTTAGCTTTTAGATAGTAGTATACTGACTAGCAAGGAATTCTTTTAAAATAAATGAAGCTAAAAAACAAACTTAAATATTCCTTGGCCTTGTATGTACAATATTAGGCCTCGGATATCATGCATTAGGCCTAGGAAGGTTAGGTTTGTTTAGTTTCTCAAAGCAACACAAGTAAAAAGTTATTTTTTGGTTTGTCCAACTCAATAGTTCATATTTCTACTCTATAATTTTGTTGTACATCAGGTGTATACATACTATGGTCCTCATCGTTACTATTAGCACTACCTAAACAGGAGGATGGGCTAGAATTAAAATAGATAATTGTTGTAATGCATTTATAAGTACAGTTCAGTACAGTGGTCCTCAAGATTAGGACTCAAATGATATGGTTCATCTTATATAGTTTCCCTTAGTGTGGGAGAGGAAACCTGCTAGGCTTTGTGTACCTTGAGTCCCTGTATGCTTGGGTCTTTTGTTCCAGGGGGGAGAATTTTTGTTAACCGCCTCGTTGTATGAGTATGATTGCTTGGTTCCTTTCCCTCGAGTTCGATTCTGCATCCATTTTGGTGCCTCGGAGTCATTATTTTTCCAGAGGTTTCTGTCTTCACATAATGGGCCTTCATTGGTTCATGCAGATTTGTTTTGGTACCTCCTATGGAACTCAGACCAGTTTTCTTTGATGGACCTGGCTTTTTGTGAGTGGGTCTGTTTCAGCTTTTTGGCTGCTGTGTGAGATTTCAGATTCATCTTGAGTAGCTGACAGTCCTCTTTGTTTTTCCTAGGGGATTATTTTTGTCCCACACACTTGATTAGTGGGAGGTGAATTCCATTTTTCAGGTGTTCTTGAGTAATTCTTCTTTTTGTTCCACTCAAGAACTGACTGTTTCTTCTGGCACTCCTCAAGGACATGGACATGTGGCAGCTCTATGTACAACTGCCTGTGCCGTCCAGGGCCCTTATTGCAGAGGATCACAGGGGCTCATTCCCACTTTGGGCCAATTTTGTGTCTTTGGGTCCTCATGGAGGGGGAACTCTCTAAGCAACTGTGTGTGGATGTGGACTCACTCAGTGTGTGGAGTGAGTCTGGAGTGGGGTCTGCTCAGTGTGTGGAGGCCTCAAGGCTTGCATTTCTAACCCTGGCGGCCTTGTTCAAGATGCTTGCCTCTTCCCTTTGGAAGATGGTATTGGCATTTTACTTGGCAGACCTTGCGTGTTGACAGGCTGTGTAGGCCTGTTCATTAGATTCAGCTTGGTTCTCTACCCTTTCGTCCACCTCTCTTTCCTGAGTATGTCATTGTCCCAGATTTTGTTGAAAAGTGATGAAACAACAAAACATTTAAGTGTTGAAAAGTCATTGAGCCCTTGATGTTGATACTGTCAAATTGGGCCCTTGATGTTGAGACTATATCTATTGCACCTCTGTTTTCAATCAGGTTATTTTGCACTTCCTAAGATGCCTCCTGGACTCATGGTGTTATTTCTCTTGGCAGATTTGAAACCAGGCCTTCTAATATTTTCCAAGTATGAATTATTAAGTGTATCTGCCAGGACTGTAGGAAACTCGGACTTTAAAATCTTAAGTGGTCCCGATAATTTAGATGTTTTATCGAGTGGATTCTAGCAGTAAAATATCTTTACATGTTATCCAAGTCAGCAATTTCTCCGTGACGTCATCCTTGCCCATCGCTCAATGTGTTCACGTATGCCTCAGCTCTGGGTTCAGGTTTTGTAACCAGCGCTCACCAGGCTGCCCAGCATCAGTGAGTAGATCCTTTCCTTTGAGTGAACAGTATAGTGCTCAAGTTTGGGGCCATGTGGCATACATGCCCTGCTTTGATTTGGCTTCCTCTGGGCTATGTGCTGCTGTCCCACTCATGCTGCTGCTTGGTGGTTCTTTGCTTGTACTGAGAGGTGGTGACTACGGTCCATTGCCTGGTGGAGTTGGTCACTTTGATTTCTGGATTCTCAAGGTTTGATTCTCTGCGTGGTTCACTTGTGGGGCGTGTCCAATATTCTTGTGGGTGGGTTATCTTGTCTCCGTCTTATTTTCATAGAGTGGATCGTCAGTTATGTGTCGTTCCATTCCGTGCGAGATGGAAAGTCAGGCCGAGGTGGACCTCTTCGCATGAGTGTAGAACCGAGTCTTCCCTCCTACAGAGACTCCGTTGCTAGGCTCTTGCTGTATATGTCTTTCGACTGGACTGGTTGAGGTGTATTTACATTTTCTTTCAGGTTCAGTTGTTGCTTCAGATTCCATCCAGCCAGGATTCCAGCCTGGCTTCCATCCATCCACTGATATAAATATAAATGGTCACAATTTTCCTTATTTTTTGCCAATTGTTCCAAGGAACACTTCTGTTCTTTTGTAAATTTGCTCCAGAACGTTGTTAATTATTCTACTTCAAATTCATGCTTATATAGGCTAACCTGAAAGGGATCTGATGATCAGTGTCCCTGCATCCCGGTCTCTGACCAAGCGTTGTGGTTGGTGGTTAGGTCAACCAGACTGGTTAATGTCGCTGCCTGGTTGATCATACCATCATCGATGTCCCAACTTTAAGAGTTTTTAGGGAGGTGATCATTAAGCATAGGTGCTTGTCTCCAGGTTTTGGATGACAAGTGAGCTCCCAAGAGCCAATCGAACACACAAGCTCTTTCATTATATTATTAACCTCTTCACTGATTGACATTTTTCATCTTGGGATCAATCATAACTCGTAATACCTGCTTGATGGGGTTCTGGGAGTTCTATTCTCCAAGCCTGGCCCGAGGCCAGGCTTGACTTATGAGAGCTTGGTCCACCAGGCTGTTGCTTGGAGCAGCCCGCAGGCCTACATATCCACCACAGCCCGGTTGGTCCGGCACTCCAATAAGAAAACTATCTAGTTTCCTCTTGAAGATGTCCACTGTTGTTCGGGCAATATTTCTTATGCTCGCTGGGAGGACGTTCAACAACCGCGGACCTCTGATGTTTATACAGTGTTCTCTGATTGTGCCTATGGCACCTCTGCTCTTCACTGGTTCTATTCTGCATTTTCTTCCATATCGTTCACTCCAGTAAGTTATTTTATTGTGTAGATTTGGAACCTGGCCTTCCAGTATTTTTCACGTGTATATTATTTGGTATCTTTCTCGTCTCCTTTCTAGCGAGTACATTTGGAGAGCTTTGAGACAATCTCAATAATTTAGGTGCTTTATCGCGTCTATGTATGCCGCATATGTTATCTGAACGCCCTCTGTTTCAGCAATCTCTCCTGCTCTGAAGGGGAAAGTGAGTACTGAACAGTACTCAAGACAGGACAGCACAAGTGATTTGAATAGTACAGTACTGTACAACCATTGTGATGGATTCCCTGGATTTGAAAGTTCTCATAATCCATCTATCATTTTTCTGGCTGACACAATATTTACTTGATTATGCTGTCTAAACGTTAGGTCATCAGACATCATTATTCCTAAATCCTTAACGTGCTGCTTTTCTACTATGAGCAAATCTGATTACATTTTGTACCCTGTACAGTTTTACATTTAATGTCCTCATTTTTACCATACCTAAGTACCTGGAATTTATCACTGTTAAACATCATATTTTCTTCTGCCCAGTCAAAAACTTTATTAATATCTGCTTGTAATTTTTCATCCTCTTCAGCAGAGGTAATTTTCATGCTGATTTTTGGGTCATCTGCAAAGGATGACACGAAGCTGTGACTTGTATTTTTGTCTATATCTGATATGAGAATAAGGAAAAGCAGTGGTGGAAGGACTGTACCTTGAGGTACAGAGCTTTTAACTGCGCTTGGACTCGATTTTATATGGTTGACTGTTGCTCTTGGTGTTATGTTTGACAGGAAACTGAGTATCCAGCGTCCTACTTTACCATTTATTCCCATTGACCTCATTTTGTGTGCTATCACTCCATGGTCACATTTATCGAATGCCTTTGCGAAATCTGTGTATACCACATCTGCATTCTGTTTTTCTTCTAATTCCTCTGTGATTTTGTCGTAATGGTCAAGTAGCTGTGAGAGGCATGATCTTCCTGCTCTAAACCCATGTGGGCCAGGATTGTGGAGGTCATTGGTCTTCATGAAACTAGTGACCTGACTCCTGATCACACTCTCAAATACTTTTATTATGTGGGACGTTAGTGCAACTGGTCTATAATTCTTTGTCAATGCTTTGCTCCCTCCCTAGTGTAGAGGGAGGGAGCATCTGGTATCTCCCTTGTGTCCAAGCTCTTCCTCCACACAATGCTGAGTGCCTGTGCTACTGGCACTTTGCATTTCTTTATAAATATTGAATTCCATGAGTCTGGACCCGGGGCTGAGTGCATGGGCATGTTGTAAATTTCTCTTTCAAAATTTGTCACACTCGTGTTGATAATCAGTTGTATTTATAGGGGTTTAGATATCACGCATAAATTAGTTGTCCAGATCTTCCACTTTCATGCTGTTTATTGGAGTGCTAAACATATCCTCACTGCTTTTTTAGGATTTCACTAATTTATTCGTCATCTTCAGTGTATGAACCTTCACTCGTACAAATAGGTCCAATACTGGCAGTGGTTTTTGCTTTTGATTTAGCATATGTGAAGAAATATTTTGTTTTTCTATTTCTTGAATTGCTTTCTGTTCTAGTTGTCTGTCTTCAATCTGAAATGAATACTTCAGTCTCTGCTCGATTTCTTCAATCTCCCTGTTTAAATTATTCCTTCTTTGTATGGAAAGTCGTGTCTGCTTAAGCATTTCCGTTAATTTTTTCCTTTTTTTTTGTAGTGTCGTCTGTGTTCTCTTTCTACATTGGACCTCTTTCTGGCTTTCCTCAAAGGAACATGTTTCAGACAGACTTTATATGCTTCAGAAGTCAGTTTTCTATTCCTTGTGTTGGATTTGTATTATTGTATTACTTAGAACA